GGCGTCAGCGTGGACAACGCGACCAGACCGGTAAAACTGGCGGAAAAAACGCGACAGAAATTATGCGAGTACCTACTGTTATACGGGCAGCTTTTACACAGCAGATCCGTGCTTCACCCCACCATACTTCTCCGACAGGATAGTCCCCAGGCGACTTATCGGGAGTGGAAATTCACAGTTCGGCGACCTTCGGGCTCCCTCGGAGCCTGTCGCGGCGTGTTTACTGCTCATATAACAGCTCCCTGGCGTCGATGACTCAGCGTGATTGCTGATTGTATAACAGCACTGAATTTGTAGATCAGCGTCGGCGTTTTATCTGTCGCGTTCTTGCTGTCCGTATAACATGGGCCTAAGTTAATTAGCATATAGTATAGTTACCTATTAGTCATTTGTAAATAAACAAACCGTCTAACAAAAACTGGACAAGTTCAAAAACCCTTAGCCAAAAAATTAACTTAGCCTATCTCTTGATAATTTAACATAAGGAAGCATATAATTAGTTGCGTTAAAATCTTAGTGTAGGCCTGGGAATTACCATTACCTACTGTAAATGTAAAAAACATCAAGCGTAACTTAAAACACAGAGGATACTCGTCCAGTAACAGGACGTGGATTAACTTAGGCGTCCGGCACTGACGTCACAGGGTTGTGAGGGCCCGGAACGCCATTACCACAACGATACGATGTACAACCATCGGTGTTTGTGGTGTATTGGATAGTGTGCTAGGCTGATTAACGCAAGAGGTCCCTGGTTCGAATCACATCGGTAACTTTAACTTTTTGTCAAAGATTTTGCTTTGAATGCCATTAACTGTACATCTTTTGTTAGAATTTTTGGCATTTATAATTTTATTTTATGAACATAATTTAACCTTCATTCATTATCATTTTTCATTATCAGCAAGTTTGGTTGGTTAGGTTAGGTTATGACAGTAACTGCTGGACGCCTAATCCACGTCCAGTTGCCGGATGCGTATCCTCTGCGAATTTAAAAACCCTGTAACTTACTAATGTGCTAATTAATAGGCCTAACCTAAGTTAGTTAATATCGTAGGCCTACTTGATAAAATCTTGGCTGCACTTTAGTTTCTGTCCTACATTTACTCACATAACTCAAGTTACCTAGTACTTAACTGCATGTTTGGTTAAGGTTAAGTTAAGTTTAGAACAGTTTCATCAGCTGGTAGCACAAATAGGCCTACCTATTTGTGTAGTACCGTACCTAAATAGGTACTAGAAAACATGTTCTAGTATTCGTGGCTAACTTAGTAGTCCTATAATAGTAAATGTAGGACAGAAACTAAAGTGTAACCGAAATCTTGAAAGAATACACACCTACCGAAAATATCATCCAAGACCAGTAAAAATGAAGATGTAACTTAAACCTTCTTTATCCAATTGTCTATGATGTAACTTAACTTAGCCTAGCCTAATTAAAATCCAGTATTTGTAAGTTTAGACCATAAATAAAAGCAAAACACTTACCTTTGAGGGTTGTAGAAAATTGATGATGAATTGAAAACATAAATAAGTTAGGTTGATCTAGCGAAAATCTTAAAAGTAGGCCTAGGACCAACGGTAACACCGATGGCCAATAAACTTCTTGATTCTTGAACTTAAATTAGTTACAACTGTAAAATAAACTTTTAAAACTAACTAAAAAACTGAATAATTAACAGCTAAGTTTTGGAAACAACGATTGAAATATTGATCTCGAAGAGGGCAGAGACTACACAGAATAAAAAGCAGAAGAGATAAAGTAAAGAACTCGAACTGCAGCAGAAACACAGAACTAAACAACTAAAAATAAAAAACAAAAACAACAATGGCGGCCTCGGCTGACGGCTAGTCGGCGTTACGGTACTGTCCGACCCATTCGATACTATCGTGCTAATACGATTTTCAATGCATATCGAAAGACCAGTAATGCTCCGTGTAGAAAGGATTTGATTTATGATTGATTTCAGTTATACCTTAGTAATAATAATAATATTAGTTATTAATTATTAACTTATTTAGTTTTTCTAACTTAGACTGTAGTAGTTACATAAATTTAAATTAATCATAACTGCCCAGTAAGCTATCGAATAGAAATATCGAGCCTATCAAGTTCGATGTTGATATTGACTATCGATATAATTCTAGTATCTATCAGTCTGGCTTCGATATTTTTATTCGGATCCAATAAGTCAACGCTGCAACCCCAACCCCAATCCCAAACCGGTTCGGTCTAACTACTGTACACTTCTTGGCTTGGTGAAGGAATTCTACAAGTGACCTTCGCACTTGCCACCCCTTTGTATTACAGTTCTTTGTCTAGCTGCCTGTATTGTAAATTCCTACTGTCCCTTCTTCTAAGAAAAACTTTCTCTAAAAGCAATTGTTTGGTCTGAGTGAAAATATCTCTTTCTCAAGGCTTTGAGCAAAATTTACAAATCTATCTGGTGTATGAATCCAGGAAAATGGTTTATGTATATTTGACGTAAATATATGTATATTTTACGTCAATATTAAAGTATATGGGATGTGAATAAGTTACATTCAGTATACATTAAATGTATCGAGAAATAGGCCAGAAAATAGGTTTAAATCAATCACATATTAATTAAGACAGTATTTCATGTTGACCTAAAACAAAAGGTAACGATATTTTCTATGTAAATATCAGCGAGTAAATTATATGTGAATTTTACATATTTCAATATACTTTACATAGTTTACCAAGATTGACCTAAGATATATGTATATAATACCTCGTGTGCTGACTGGGTATTTACCTCCTCATGTTTAACAATCAATGTCACACACCATGTCTGCGAATATCTCCACTAAGACCAAAAGTATCTGAGGTTTTAATAAGTACATGCTGATAAATAAATGAGTCCCACGTTATTGAAAAATAAGCCGTTAGAGCTCGCGTGACGCAGAGAATATTGAAGTTTTCAGTAACTTTTTCGGAAAAGCAGCACCCCGCATTCAGCAGGAGAGTGAACCCAGCTAACCAGAACGTAGATAACATGAATACTGTGCAGTAGTAGTAGACTTAATACTTGAATACTTTAATCTGAAATGGCGACCATACGAATGTATAGGCATTTTAAGCCAAGAATGAATGGGGATGAGCGTAGGATGAGTGGTGCGATCTTGTAGTCTTGTTAGTGACTAAGGTCAAAATGTTCCTTACCATGAGTACAGGTCCAGGTCTTACCATGAGTACTACGGTAATAGCTTATTCCCCGTATTGGGAAATTCGCTAAAAAGAATCATGTGAGTTTCACCGTAGATTATATCCATTGTTTGTTACTTCACGCACATAGCTGACAATGGTGGTGGTTCCAGTTGAGTATTTGGATCAACCAGGAACCAAGACGCTTGACAGTCTCTTTCAGACCAATCGTTGGTTTTAGAGTACATAACTGTTGAAACTGTTTTATCCACGTTGACTAGGAGATGATTCGTAGTACAGTAAACCAACCTTTGACCAGCTCCATTAGTTGTCAGCTTCACCTCGAAAGGCTGATATGTCATAAACACGTCTCAACAATAGGATAGAGTCACCTGTGAAAAGGTGAAGGCAATGTATGGCCTTTTAGTGACAAGTCATAAATATAATGAAAATAATTTTGCTGAGTTCCCTGTAGCATGACATTGGAAACTTTATGACAACACCAAAAGCCTTATTGCATATAATTCCGTGAACTAACTGACATACCACCAACCAAAAACATACGAGTATAATATAAAACACCGAAACCACGGCCACCTTTAATTTGAAACTGAATCAGCGTTTTGGACTAGACAGTGTAGTTGCATGGTTGTCTAAATTGAGCCAGCTTTCAACGACGAACTCTAAAAGAAAATGTTTGTTTTGTTTGTTTGCCAATCCAATGAGTGAGGTGAATAAAAACAAGTGATAGCTTGAGAGTGTTCACTAAGCAAGTCTAGTCTACTCTTAAATAACATGTGAATAAACACAAGAGTTCACTCGCGAGAGTTGTCTTGTGGTTCGGAGGGTTCCCTCTTGCGCCGGCAAGTGATCACTTGTAGAGAACACTTGTGTTTTAAAGAGAACACTCGTTTTTCATAATAAAAACAAACAATTTAACTTGGGCAATGTTTGCAACAGCTTAATTCTGCGGCCAAAGTAATCAGATATAGGATATTAGGACGTTTTTATAGTTTGTTATCAAAAGAACATACGTTGTTAAGTTTGGTGCAACAAAATAGATACATAGTATTCATTTTAATATTTACTTATCTAAACTAATGGTTTGTTATCGTTAAAGAGAACATTTTTTTTAGTTGTAGTAAGTAATGAAAATAAATTATGTAGTTTCAGTTTTGTATAACATTTAAATAAATTCATTATTAATAAACAGACATATTTATTTACAGAAACCTATTTACATTTACTGATATAACAATTGTTCACAGTAGTTCGGTGAACTCCAATATCGACAGCTACCCCACTTTGAAACCCAGGGTCACTCAAGTATCTTAAGAAAATTTCTATCTTTTCCCTTTTCGACAGAGCTCCACCTCGATTCTCAACAACATCATTCAAAAAATAATCTGAAATGTAATTTACACTTGCATCCTCAAATCTGAGTAATTGTTTGCACTTGTTAGGGCTTATACTTCTTCTAATCCCATATTGCTTTCGTTCACGAATATGCATGAAAGCAGTAATTTTAGGCAAGTGAACAGTTACAAGTGTGGGTTGACCCTGACTTGTAAATCTAAGAGTGTTCTCTTTCTAGACAAGTGTTTGCTTTTTCTTTATTCACATGTTTTTAAGAGTTGTCTTGCATCAGAAAAGGGTTCCATTGTAGTGGAAGTGAACTCTTCCTTTATTCACTTGCTGACAAGTGTTCACTCAAAATAATACAAGTGGGAGAGTTCTCTAGTTTTTATTCACCTCGCTCATGTCTTGCTGTCGGCAGCGTGAACTGAACTGACTGAAGTGAAGCTCAGAGCAGAGCAGATTAGCAGAAGGCAGAACGGCAGAAGGCAGAAAGCAGAAGCAGAAGCGGTTAATTAGAATGGAAAGTATCGACACTCCGAAATTTGTTTTAAAAGATGATAGGGGAAGAAAGTATCATAATTTACCGGGAACCAAAGTTGTGTCTATTAAGGATCAAGTTCTTATCTCAAGTGGGGTGCTTTCTTTGGATTCATTGATTGGTCAGTCGCGTAATAATATTATAGGTTAGATCACCTGAACATAGGCCTATGGCAGCATTTCCGTTGTTTCCTAACCTTTTTTATTTCCGTTCAGGGCACGGCACCGCAGTGCCGCACACGCACACGCATTCGCACTCGCAAACTAACTGGAACACGTTTTTAGACAACGGCACACTTGTCTACAAAAATATCATTGGTTAAAATTACATTTAGTAAGTGCATAATAGGCCTAGGTTATCGTTTTTTTCAATTAAATCTTACTCTGTAAAACATGTTATTTACTAGTAAATATATACAAAGGTGGGTTTACCAAGGTAAAAATTCTAAAAAAAAACACATTCATTATCTAACATGCACCAAGCCTATTAGTGAATGGTAGCCTAAGTTAAGTTTTTGTAATATTAATTTATAATGACCCAACCTAACATAACCGCTGCAGCGCTGCTGTTGGTAAATATGCATTTTAGGGTTTGCACGCGATTTTTGAAATTTTTTTTTTCATTCTACTCGAAATTTAACGCTGATTCCGAATATGACGTTCTTTTTCCGCGGAAAACGACCATAACGCGGAAAAACGACCAAAACGACCAAAAACTCTTTTTTTACCAAAACACGTCATGTGGGTACTCAAATTAACCGTAATATTAAGCAGATCACGACTATGCAAGAATTTTTTGGATCCGAGGTCAAATAAGCGAGATTTTCACGTAAATATGCGATGCTATTTTGGATTTTTGCTCTAACTTTTGTCTGTGTTAAAATACCAGCTGATCAGGATCAGCTGGTCATTATTTTATTATAATTGTTTATGTTTTAATTTAACAGGTAAAAGGGATGATACTATGCATAACCTAACTTAACCTAACCTACCCTAACCTAACCAACCTAACCAAACCTAACCTAACCAACCTAACCTAACCCAACCAACCTAACCTAACCTAACCAACCTAACCTAACCTAACCAACCTAACCTAACCAAACTAACCTAACCTAACTTAACCTAACCTAACCTAATCAACCTAACCTAACCTAACCAACCTAACCTAACCAACCTAACCTAACCTAACCTAACCTAATCAATCTAACCTAACCTAACCTAATCAATCTAACCTAACCTAACCTAACCAACCTAACCTAACCTAACCAACCTAACCTAACCTAACCAACCTAACCTAACCAACCTAACCTAACCAACCTAACCTAACCAACCTAACCAAACCTAACCTAACCAACCACACCAACCTAACCTAACCAATACCTAACCTAACCAACCACACCAACCTAACCTAACCTAACCTAACCAACCTAACCTAACCTAACCTAACCGAACCTAACGAGCAACATGGCAGTGCTACTACAACCAATGAATAGGTTGGTACTGAAAAATTTCCCAATTTCAAGCATATCTCCCATAATTCTCCCGAATAATTACCCATTATTTTTTACACATTAAATTACAACGATAAACCACGTTAGATGTCTCCCCCACCCAAAACCCCGAATTCCCACCTGTCCCCTAGTGAGTTGGAGTTATTGCTGGTAGTATCACGTTTTCGTGGATATCTCGCTTATTTGACCTCGGATCCAAAAAATTCTTGCATAGTCGTGATCTGCTAAATATTCCGGTTAATTTGAGTACCCACATGACGTGTTTTGGTAAAAAAAGAGTTTTTGGTCGTTTTGGTCGTTTTTCCGCGTTATGGTCGTTTTCCGCGGAAAAAGAACGTCATTTTCGGAATCAGCGTTAAATTTCGAGTAGAATGAAAAAAAAAAATTCAAAAATCGCGTGCAAACCCTAAAATGCATATTAACCCTGCTGGTTTACCTACTTGGCGGAGTTCATGTGGCAGCTAGCGGCAGCGACACATTCAACTCAATTCTCGCCAACATCACTGCCTTCTATAGGCAGAATTCAAAGGTCGCTATTCACAATCATACCAAATTTGGACAGTAAGTCGGTAATTAAAATAATTTCTTTCTAATTATTTAGTTATTTTTGGTAGTACCCGGTAAAAAAATCCCTCTCAAATACGTGGCCTCCAGATAATACCAAAGTATCTATTTTCTAAGCGCTTATTTCAAAGACAATTTTTTCACCTTATTTAACTTAATCCATGATAGGCCTACTTGAATAGTTACCTTACAGCCTGACGTAATGTTGATTAAACTTAGGTTTATTTATGTGACAATGTTGTAGCCACCAATTGATCAGGTTGTTCATCTAGAATTTAATACATTACACAGGTTTTATGTATCAATTTTAATCTTTTTCAGGAGGCGGTTTGCCACTAGGATCTATTTTTCTCATTGGTGAGTCAGTTTATGTTAATGAGAACAGAACCACGCTATCTCGAACAAACTTTTCATTTGTAATGATCTAATAAAATAGGTACCTACCCTACCTCAGTCTCATTTCACATCATCCAGGGTACGGTACGATATTACATCTATGATCTTAGATTTGGCTAATTATTTTTTATTTCAAAACTACTACGGTACAAAATTTTTACAATAAAATGTCATAACACTATCTTGAATAGGCCTACTTTTTCATCTGTACGTTTAAAAAATTGTGTATAGGCCTAATTAGGTTGAAATTTTTAGACTTATTAGACGGAATTCATCATTATAAGAAGACATTCAAAAAACTTCCTTAGTTATAAACTAAGAGACCGTTACTTTTTTCAACTAAATTATCATAAAGATCAATAAATTATCAGAAAAATGCATTTAGCTTAGTAAATTATTCAGATTCCTTTCACAAACCTTAAAGATGAACATTTTAGGTTTAAGTTTAAAATTTGTTTTCTATTTAGCCTATTTAAAATAATTAATATTGAAACCTTTTCATTCAACTTTGTATCTACAATGTATTGTTAAAAATATTGCCAAAATATAAAGTTTTAATCTTATTTTTATAATTTATTGATTCTTATTTACAGAGGAAGATGAATTCGGTGTTTTCAGCAAATATCTAGCAAAATATTTCCTTGCTGAAGGAATCGCTTGTAAACATTGCCTCTATATTGCCAGCATTGATTGTGACACACGACAATTGGTAAGTTCATTCATATTTATTGGGTAAAATACAACATATATCTCAAACTTATTTAGATTCTCACCTTTTTACTCATTTAAGTACGGTACGTAACTTTTCTTCAGTTGTAACCGCCCCTCTCTTAGGCCTGTTAAAGAACATTCAAGATTACCAACAAAAGTTAATTAGTACAACGAATATCTCAACAGAATTCAGTGTAACAAACAATACTAAACATGAGGTTAAGGTTGTAACATAGAGCACAAAGGCTTAGGTTTCAAGGATTTTTTTATGAGGAGAGCAGGCTTACCTGAATGGGTTTTGTGTATCCTGTACCAGTTTAGACTCATTCCCATTCAAGGAAGCCTGATCCTAATAAAAAATCCTGAAAACAATACTATAGGTCGGCCGCTTAGAAAGCGAGCTCCTTGTAGCAGTAGTGCGAGAGAGAGATACTGAGCTGTGGGAGTGAGACAGACTATGGCCCTTTCCCCACTCCGCTGCCAGTACGGGTTGAAAACTATGGTTTTCAATAACTTCAGAAAACCGGCCAACCGCACCGGCGGGAGCGATGCTGCCAATGACAAACCGGCAACAGCAACGGCGGCTAGGCTCTGCTGTGACGGTGTATGTGTAAGCAGTTCCATTTGGTAACACAGGATTCCAACTCCCACGACACCGGGGCGGCGCCGTGCCTTGGTACTAGCTGGCTTTCCAAGCGGCCGATCTATAAACAGCTTACTTACACTGCACACTGGTGCTGAAGAATAGTTGGGCCATGGCCTTATGTCTTAACCCCAAAATTATTGATACTGTTTGGCCACTTTGATTCTAATTTCTTTGTAGTATTGTCGCGGCTATTGTTTTAGGAATCTATAGTGTGCTACACTTCTTTATAGCAATATTAAATAATTCATCCAAGATTGACTATATTGGTCGTAGGTGAAAGATTTGCCCAGCCCTGTAGAATTCTCAGTGTCTTCAAGATCTTCTGATCAAAATGCTGATGACCTAAAGATTGCTTGGAGGTAAGTTTTGCAGTTATCAAGCAATTTTATGAGCCAAACAATTTTATGTACCAAAAAAAGGCGAAAATGGTTAAGTTTGGAAGAACTAGGGATCTGTGGGTCTGGATATTTTCAAGTCTGGCCAACAGTCGGCTCGAAAGATTTCGGGTTCGGACCTAAAAAATTGGGCTGACTCATATGTATACAAATATAGCTCAATTTTTTAGGTCTGAACTGATCTTTCGAGCCGACTGTTGGCCAGGTTGTTTGAAGAACCGTGCAACGTTCTTGTCAATGTGCTAAACTTTTAAGGTAATCAAAATTAGATGTAAAAATTTTTATATGAAGATCTAATTACTAATTTCCTTTCTCTTAATTTTGTTCCTTTTTATATACCAGTTACTAAATCTTTGATGATTGCTGTAAACTAACAAGAGGTACTTGTATGTGTTTGTCAAGGTATCGAGACACTCCGATGGTGCAGTCAAGTCCGTCTTTGTCAGGAGCTCCTGTGTTCGGCCACAACTTTGACCTGACAAGTCCTTACAGCAAAGAGGTCCTTGACAATGCAGAGATCACTCACTGGCCTTACGACACAAGTGAGTTCGTAACTCAATTGATTAGATTGTTCGTGATTGTTCTGTACAAAGTATTATTTATTTCTGTAGAGAAATCGGTGATCCATCACTGAGTAATCTTAAGAATTTACACAACTGATTTACCTACCGGTACTCCAGAAAACTTACTAACTACAAATTAGTTCAAGTTTGTTGCTAGAATTGATATAACGTTTCTATTATCGTGTATTGAAATATTTTAAATTTGACTTGAGGAACTAAATAATACCAGAAATGTGCTAGCGGATCGATTTACTCAGCCTACAAGATCAAGCACCAAGTTTGAAAATCGAGCTTGAACCCAGCTTTAACAATCGCGATTGCAGGGCTTGTCTGCAAATAGTGTGTAGTCAAAAAATTAACGCTTTTGCCGCAGCAGATGATGACAATAAGTGATCGTGAAATCTATGTAAGTGAGAGGCGATGATGATATTTATATGACTGCGGTAGATGATCAGGATTTTTCCCCAATCGTAGAGAACAATGATGTATACTTGACTACAGGGAAATGTTCAGTATTTGGCTGAAATTGGAGTAGATGACGATGATAATAGCTGGACAACGTTTATTACACTGTACATTTTTTGTGTTTAATTCTATCCCATATAACTGCCTGTCTAGTGGTATGGTCAATTCTAATTATTTTCTAAATTGTGAATGATTTGAATTATGATTCTGTTAAATCTCCTAACAGACTGTGAGAATCCGTATTCTGCGCTTCTGTCAGACCTGTACAGCCACATACAGAAGCAAGGTCACAGTGTGAAGCTCGCGCAGCCACGCAGGACAGTTCTGCGGATCGTTCTACACAGCCTCGGTTCCCCGTTGTGGCCTCAGCCAGACTATCTGCCTCGGTTTCTGCTCTCCCTTCGTCACATGCTACAGGCTGCGTTTGCCTGCGTTCTAATCACATTATCCACTGACATGGTTGAGGTTAGTCTTTTAGTTATTCCTTCCGGATTTTGTTTGTGGGAATTAATATTTTGTGTAAAATATTTCATTCCCTACAGTGGAGATAAAAGTGTTAGTTTATTGTAATTATGCAAAATATCCAATATTTTTTCAATGATTAAGCTTACAAGTGTACAATTATAAACCAGTCATGCTTAAATCACCATAGGAAATTATACAACCCAATGACAGAGGAAAAGTCTGCGTTTTACTTGTAAGGGCTTACCAGCAAATTAGAGGTTGGGGCTGCTTTTGATGATGGTGACAATGAAAATCAGGATCCACGGGGATTAGGCCTTTAGAAAAATACTATTTTAACTGAGTTTTGTTGTGATAGGCATCTAAAATGTAAAGAATCCACTCTGGCACAAGAAAATATTTATACTGTGTACAAAGATTAGATTAGAATATTTCACTCTCTTTATTCAACTCTCACCTTCTATGGTTGAAAATACTGTCAGTGACAGCGACATTTTAAATCAATCGTGTATAGTTTATTGTATTATTTTATGGTAAGTTTTATCACCTGTTAACGGATATGATTGTGGTGGATACTAGTTTTGTTTCAAAATTTATGGAACCATTTTCAAACATCGCTTCTAAGAAAGGTATAGCTATGTGTTTCTTGTGCCAGAGTGGCCTATTTCTCTTTTAAGTAAACCTGATATTGTAACAATAATTCTTAATCGAGGTCCTTGTGCTCTACATCTTTAACCTAATTTTTACTTTCTCCCCCTATACCACAGTATACCGGTATTGAAAAAGTATTGTTTTTGTCAAAATTTTTGAGTTTGAGTTTTGAGTGGATACATACGTTTTGGGTCCCCCTGGACCAAAAAAGTGGTTTTCGAATTGATGTCTGTGAGTGTGATTGAGTACAGAGCTACAGACCTCACCTGTGGTCCGATTTTGATTAAATTTGGTATGTAGGTTCTAATCCATGGTATCTCCAGGCGTTTTTTTCACTTTTTTTTAAATTTTTAATTTTTAATGGTGATTTTCCCATAAAATAACAGAAAAATCAGATTTTCTCAAAAACAGCCCAAACGATTTTGATAAAACTTTAGTATGTTACAGCCCTTTAGATTCTGAACAAAATGGTTTGTTAACTTTGTCATTTTCCCATTAAAACCCCATAAAAAATTTAAAATAGAATTTTTGAAAAAAGTGCCGGTATTGATTAAAATTAGTATGTTATGGTCATTATAAGACTAAACAGTATAGTGCAACCCTCAATTGCTGTAAAATTTACGGTTTAAAAGTTATTGCCACTTTTGTGATTGTTCCTATAAAATATCATAGGTAACGCCTACCCATGATAAACGTTTTTGACAAGCTAATGGGAGAAAGTATGTGTCAGATTGCTGAGACCGTTTATTGATGATTTCTTATGTTCCAGCGAGCTGTAGTAGAGCAGTGTGAGCACTTGTCTGACACGGTTGTCCGACTGCAGTCTCTAGCAAACAACTCTAACCCTGCGTACAGTGAGTACAACGGACTGTTGTCTGTAGTCAAGCTGTGCAGCCTCAACACTCTCACTTCACATACGCCTGACACCCACGACTGGGCTTTCAAACTCAGGAAGCGAAAGTTTGTTGTCGAGGTATGTCAGCTTTGAATACAAGCAACTATTTGGAAAATAAGGAACGTTTTGGAACAATAGTTTCTGTAAGAAAAACATTGTAATGTTACTTTTTTTGTGACCAAACAAATTGAGGCACTTCTAGCGGTAGACGAGCTTTTCAGTTACTTGGTGACCGAGTAAATAACATCCCCCTTTTTTAGAGATGGTTCTTAAACTTAACCATTGTCTATTTGGTGAAGTTAACCTCAAAAGTGTTTGTAACTGCTGAAAGTGGCTTGTTTATTTATTTTTGACATTGAATCTTGTTGTAAATTAATGGCCTTGATTAATCCAAGTATATCTTAGGATAATCATTACCTTATTAATTTTATGTAGCTCTGGTTGAACTAAATCAATGATAATCTACTTCATGACCAGTTATACTTAACCATTCAGGCGTGTGTTTACAAGGTCAGTAGAGCAGGCAGGTTATCTGCCTCTAGTGTATTTCAAGTTACCTAAGACAGGTAGCCTGCCCGCTAACTGGCTTTGTGTAAACACTGCTTTTAAGATGGTTTGACAATGCCACAACAGCCAAAAACAAAATTACCTAAAAAGTAAATTTATAGAGAAATCGTGGAAAAATTCCCAAATCAAAGGGTTAAAGGATCTCATGCTTATACATTTTGGACGTGAGATACCTGATCTAAATTAAAAGGTTCTATAGTTTTTTTTTATTTACAACTAGCAGAGTACCCGTCCTTCGTACGGGGTTGGCATATAAGTATCAAATGCTTATAGCAGTTATGAGTGAGGACATGGTTTAAGAAATTTCGGTTCTTTTTGAAGTTTGTTCGCTACGCTCACTCACCTTTAGGTTGGAGCTCGTTCGCTGCGCTCACTTTCCTTCAGGTTAGCTCGTTCGCTACGCTCACTTGCCTTCAGGTTAGCTCGTTCGCTACGCTCACTCGCCTCCAGGTTGAAGTTCGTTCGCTACGCTCACTCACCTTTTGGTTGCAAATTAGCTGTTGTCATAAATGTAAAAGAAATAATGCTAGTGCTGCACCCTGTTGGTAATCCTTGTAACTTTAATGCTATTGAAAATCATAGAACAGAACCAACTTGTTTAATTGAAACAGCTGTTAAGATTCATTAATTCCATTTCTCATAAGGTTAACATGGGAACCTTTGCTCCAGAGCCACTGGGGCGGAGCCCGGAAGGATTTTTGGGATAAAAATATGCCTATATGTTAATCGGGAATATGAGCTATCATCATGCCGAATTTCAGCCCGATCCGACCAGTAGTTTTCGCGTTTACTTTTCCCATACACACAGACACCACCTCTTTTTTATAATAGTATAGATAGATTATCAATCAATTATCAATCACACAAACTTTACACTTCATTAACTCACATTGTGCAGTTTAAAATAAGTAATGAATAATAAGGGTTTTCCACTTTTTTGATAGAAACTCCATCTGCCCCCGGAACTGCTAGAGTCTGCACAACGAGAGCAAGACGAAATCATCTCCACTCCAACGATGAGCTGTGCGACAAGTGGAGGAAGAGGCAAAGCTCTGGACTTCTAGAAATAGTTTGAATGTGTCACGTTTGTCTCCCAGTAAAGTTTATAAAGCTGGATTTTCATAGGGGCGGAACGCAGAGAAGCGATTTTAATGGCGGTCTGCTCTGCTGTTAGGTAATCAGTACCGTTAAATTTCCTCAGAAAAGAGGAGAACGGACTCCACACTTCGCATTCCGCACCTAGGAAAATCCAGCTGTAGGGAGAGCCAATGTACTACCATTGACTATTGTTGAACCAGACATTCCATCCCCATGTTAAAGTTATCACCATAATTAGAATTAAAATGGACATAGTTGAATTGAACCAACGAAAGAGTGTTGTGTTGTTATAAATTATTTTTTTATACCAATTTTACAATCAATTATTCAATTTTTACTGATAGGATGACATTTTGTAAGCTATAGCTCCTCATTTGTTGCATGAACTTCCTCAGTAACAAAAACTAACGGATAAAACAAAATTTTAAACTGTAGCACAGTCTATGGCTTATTCAACTGTTTTGTTTTTGTTTAAACAACTTTTGTCTAGATGGGATGTTTACTTGTGTAACCAAAAGTCAATGCTGGAACTTCAACATGGAACTGGGATGTCTATTATTCTCCATAGTTATTTTATTTATGCAACTGTACAAATTTTTTTTAATACCCTGTTACAAAATAATAAAATTATTTTTATTTTTTACGAGTTTGTTCTTCTATAATTTGAAACCTAGAAGTAAAATTTCTTAGAAAAAAAGTTAATATTTTTTTCATAATTCCAAGGAAATTGTGGTCCGACCTGATGGAAGTGGGTCAAAATTATAGGAGGGTAAAGATTGGATGTAAATCCCTATTAAATATTTGTCAGTAAGCCTAGTCCTTAAATGGTCCTTAAATGGTCGGGTAATTGCTTAGTTGTGTACGAACCAGGTGACACACTGGTTTAATGTCCCCACACCTAGTTTAAAAAAAACCTTGGAGGCCAAAGGTGTTAAGCGGGCTAGAGTCATGAATCGTGATAACGAACATAATATCAAGTACAAGTTTAATGATTTTACTGACTTGAGAGAGTGATTTTGCTGAATGTAAAGAATGAGTTATGAAAGTTCCTGTAGATAACAGGCAATTTACGATTTTAATTTTTAATAGTGCTTACTATTTAGAGTTTTCTTAGCGATCAACTTTAACTGTATCATTTTATTGATCAAAATCACGGTAGGGCCTTTACCAGAATCGTTTTAAATTTTATCTTTTGTAGGGCTTTTCCCAGGTGTGAGCAATGATGATGGTACAGTAGCACTGTTGGTTATTGGTACTGAGTTCACACCTGTACACTACATTTTTTTACTTACAAACCTGTACCTGTGGTAGGCTAAGATATATAAATATTTTCAAACCCTGGAAACTTCAGCACCCCGACTTGGGGGGACGTTGGTGACGAATTATAGACAATAGACAATAGACAATTTTCTTTATTTGTGATTTCTTTAAGAAATACAATGGCGTCAGAAAGATTCAGAATGTTTAACATTTAGATTGTTTTAACAGTTTACATTTTCTTTTGTGTTGAAAGTTCATAATTGGTCAAAAAATTCCTTAAGGGAGTACACCGGTCGGTCCACAAGCCAGTCCCAGAGTTGCTGTTTGAATTGGTTTCCTGTTGCGTTCTTGAGGTTGTTTGGAAGAGAGTTGATGATTTTTCGGCCAATATAAGAGGGTTTTCTGCTGTATTGTGTAGTGTGGTGGATCGGAAGGTTGTAGTCGGCTGCTTTTCTGGTGTGGTAGGAGTGAAAATTCTCATTTCTGGGAAGGTTAAGTTTTTTTGTGTACAGGACAACTCCATGGATGTAGAGTGCTGTCACTTTTAGGAGCTTAAGGGATTTAAATGCTTCCCTGCAGCTGTCTAAGCGCTCAAGGCCGGAGAGTGCCCTGACAGCTTTTTTCTGGAGTACCAACACTTTGTTGAGGTTTGCTTCTGATGTTCCTCCCCAAGATATTAAGCAATACCTTATATGCGATTCTATTACAGCATAGTATGCTGTCTTAGCTGTTTCCAGACCTCCTATCCATTTCATCCTCTTTATTACATGGACACCAGATGCAAGTTTTTTGGTCAGGTTGTGTATGTGGTCGTTCCAGGAGAGGTCTTCATCAATTGTCAGGCCCAGCAGTTTTGAGTTTTTTTCAACGGTTATTTCAGGAATTTCTTGGATTTGTTCATGTTTTTGGCTGAAGTTTAACTGGGTTGTTTTTGATGGATTAATGGCCAGGTCATTTTGAAGGCAGTACTGCAGTGCTTTGTCTGTTGAGGATAAGATGTTGGAGTGTAATTCTTGTGGTAAGTCATGCATAAATAGAAGAGTTGTGTCATCAGCATACATTATTGTTTCACAATTGTCATTCCTAATAAAATCTGGAAAATCATTGGTGAAAAGGATGAACAAAAATGGGCCCATGACTGAGCCCAGGGGCACTCCCCTGTTAATCGAAAGTTGTGTGGACCTATGTACAGATTTTCTCCCATTTGTGTTTTGCTGGATTTCGACAATTTGTGTACGTCTTTTCAAATAGCTTGCCACCCAGTCTTTGGCCATTCCCTCTATTCCTAGGGCTGTGAGTTTGCTTAGGATGAGATTATGGCCCAGGCAGTCAAAAGCTTTGCTGTAGTCAAGTAAGACAGTTGATACATATCTGCGTGCTTCTAGATGGTCAATGATTTGTTCGATTAAACTAGTTAGAGCTGTGGTGGTGGACCTCCCTTTGAGAAAACCATGTTGGTTTTTAGTGATTAGATCATTGCTTTCCAAGTGACTCAGCATTCTTGACAGAGCGACCTTTTCTATTACTATTGAAAAGGTTGATATTAATGAGATAGGGCGGTAGTTTTCTTGTTTAGTGCGTGAGCCTTTTTTGTGCTTTGGGTATATTTTTGCTATTTTTAGGGCGGAGGGAAATTGTCCAAGGCTAAAAGATTTGTTTATTATGCTGACAAGTGGGGCTGCCAGTTGTTCGGCACAGTGTTTTACAACTTTTGATGGCACTTCATCTACTCCACATGACAGCTTTGATTTTAGTGAGGCTATTGTTGCTAAGACTTCTTTAATGGTTGTAGGAGTTAAAATTAGTGGCTGGACATTGTTTTGTGGTAGAAATAGTGGATGTGTAATTTTTTTGTTTTTGAATTGGCTTCTGTTTTTCTCTAAAGTGGAGTCTGCTATTTCTGCAAAATATTGGTTTAGGTGTTCAGCAATGTCAGTAGGGTTATCTAATATTTTTCCCTCTATTTCCAGCTGCAGATTTGGTTCTTCCTTCTGTTTACATTGTTTTTCTTTGTTGATGATCTCCCAGACAGCTTTGGATTTATTATCAGCACTTGTGATGTATTCTGCAGTGGCTTGTCGCTTGAGGGACCTGAGCTTTAAATCATATGTTTTCTTTTTTTCCGACATTGTTGTTTTATCATTTACATTTCCGGTAAGCTCGTATCGGTGTAAGGCATCTAGAAAATCTTCTTTTAGTATTTTGACTTCTTCATCATACTGAACCTTAATTTTCTGTCCTTTCTGCTTAGCTCTTATTTTTTTGATAGGGCAGGCATGGTCCAGTATGAGCCTTACAGTCCTTTGGAATGCAGAGTATGCCTCTTCAGCATCAGGGGCATTGTGCACCTTTATCCAGTTTTCTTTGGAGAGTTCGTCTTTCATGCTATCCAGGTTTTTTCTTGAAAAAATTCTTTTTTGTGACATATCCGTTTTAGCAGTAACTTCACTCTGTATTTTGAGGGTACATGTTTGGCCTGTGTGATCTGCTATTCCAGCGTTAATTATAGCGAAATCTATAGCATTATCATGTGTGTTCGTACAGATACAGTCTATAGAGGTTCTTGAATGGTTAGTGATTCTTGTCGCTGGGAGTGGTAGTCTTCTAACTCCAAAAGTTGACAGTTCCTCTTCAAGATAGTTACTACTGGCATTTTCAGTTAGCCTGTCTATATTGATATCGCCCATTAATACAACGGTCTTGGTGTCAGCTTGAAGTGACTCCAGAACTTCTGATAGGATGTCAATGGCTAACCTAGCTTGTCCCCCTGGTGGTCTATACATACCAAGTAAGTAGCAGTTTTTGTTCTTTATCCTTATTTTCACTAATGCTGCTTCAAAAACTAAGTCTAAACTTTGGTTGGAGATTTCTATTTCTTCTGCCTTGATAGCAGCATTTTCCTGGATATAGATTGCAACTCCTCCCATTCTATGCTCTTCCCTGCAGGAATATGTGACTAGGTTGTACCCACTAATCTTAGTGAGTAATAACATATCTGAGCTGAGTCCATGTTCAGTAATCACCAAGATAGTATGTTTGAGTTCACTCATTAGATGATTTATTCTTTCAATCTTTTTCCTAAGACCTTGAACATTTTGGTGAAAAATTGTGATGGAGGTTGTTTTATTTTGTGTAATAACTAAATGTCCCTGATTATCTCTTCTTTGTGCTTTGGGGTTTGTGTTTTGGTTGTTGTCATTCAGGGGGGAAGTTGATTCTATGTTTTGTCGTCTGTTTGTTTCTTCACACCTAAAAAATGGTTTAGGGTCTGATTTGAGTCTTTCAGTATTGATTGGTTATGTTGTTTACATTGTGGTAGCTTATGGTGTGAGATCCCATTTATGTACTCCATGTGTTGGTTTAAAAAGTCTTCAAGTGATTCATTTGGTTGTAGTTTTTTAGCGGTACAGGGAGGTCCTTTTTGTACTTTAAATGTCTGTCTGTTAGCAGGAAGTTTATCAATGATGGGAGATTCTTGTTGTGCACATTGAGTGGACTTGGGGCAAGGAGTAGACTTTAAACTGTTCTGGAGAGTATTTAATTTCGATTTTGTATTGTTTATGTTTATGTCCTTTTCTTTACTTTTTTTCATCTGGAGTGACACACTAAAAATATTCCTATTCATTACCCTTAGCTGTTTCCTTATTCTTCCGTTTGCATCGGTTTTCGGGCTTTCACAAGACGGTGTGGGTTGTGTATCACTGGGGAAGTTTGTATTCTTAGCATTCTCTTGCTGAAATATTTTACTTTTAATTGCTGTTAAAGTGTTTTCTGTTTCTTCTTGCCAGGTCTTCAGCTTCGCTAGCTCAAGTAGCAGGGACAATGAGCTGTTTTGTGTTGGGAGCTCAGAGCTGTGGGTTTGAGATTCGGAGTTTTTGAATGTTAAAGTGTTTTTGCTTGATGATTTCCAGAAACATTATATTTTGTTGGGTTCTTAATAGTTTGTTGTAGGTTCTTTATTTCTTTTTCTAGATTACAAATTACTTGATCTTTGTCCTTGTCTTGATCTTCAAACATTGTTGTTAGTTCAGCTCTGAGTTGTCTCTCTTTGATTAGCTGTTGCTCAGCTTCATTTAAGGTTTGTGTTATCGATGTTATTTGATTTAATAAAGATTATCAAGTAAATTTGACAGCAAGTGCTTGAAGTGTTACTTTACTGGATATTGACCTAATGGTTATCGACTGTGGTGTCTTGAAGAAGGAAAAATAATCACTGGAAGAAATGTTGTGTTTTATGAGGAAAAATTTAACTTTGGGAGCACACCAATTGAAGACTTGATTCCCGATCATGTACATGAATCCAGATCAAGTAAAAAGGAAGAAAAGAACAAAGAAGAACCCAGATCATTGTCTGATGAAAATCTAAGAATTTCTATACCAGAT